TAGTCCTCATGTAAGAAAAGAAAAGCTATAAGAAAAGCACAGAGAAAGGTAGTAGAAACGCATCGGCGTCATCTTGTTTGTTCTTGGTCACGTCACGAGTCGGTACGACGGAGCGAATCTGTCGGGAACACGAAGGTGACGTCATTTTCGGGATGTCGTTTTGAGTCTCGCGAAATAGCCTCTACCGTTTTCTTCGTACTTTTATCGAGTCCTAGCTGTGGTTTTTCGAAATCTTTCGAATCGATGAGTGTCATGAGTCCACTAACTTCTGACATTCCTCGGATTTGAAGCTTAATTTATCTGGTGGTGAAACTTGATAGTTTATCTAAGTTAGATACATTTATCTATTAAACTATTCAACAGTTTGACTGAATGCACTCTATCTGTGTTGGCGGGCTTGGCGTCTGCCATCTTTTCCGAGTGTTTAACATAACTTGCACTTTTTCTTCAGAATTCACGGCAACCCAGAATAAAGCTTTGAATATGTTGAATAATCAATGTTGGTCGTCGACACGGCAAAATGTCGCGGGACGCGGGATTTCGGGAAATTATAGCGCGTGATTCGGGATCAACCTGTCAGTAAACCTACTGAGGAACCCTGTTTGGGCTGCCTGTGGTACATAGAATTCGAACGAAGGAAGACTTGCATCAAAATGGCCTCTTCTACTGTTAGAGACAAGGCACTTCGGCTGATGCGTTTGGTTAATTCAGCTTCGTAAGTTCAAATCAGATTATTTCATGATTGAAAGCAATCTTTTCATTTATTGATCATAGTTTTTGCTTGTTGTTTCAGATGCAGATGTCCAGCACATTCACAAGCCTTTGGTTCAAGTTAGACTTGCTTGACTTTTATTATTTATATATATAGATGTATATATTTATATATTATAATACTTTATCATACTTTATAGGTTAGGTTTAGGCTTATTTATAGACAGGATCATTGCAGGAATGTTTGACTGACTGAGATTTCCCTTGAACAACAAGAATTGGATGGGGTCAGTCCCATCTGAGCAGAGCTAGAGTTAATTACGCAACTCTGATCTGAGTATTGCATATTCATAGTTACTAAATAATAAGCTTATATAACTAGGCATTGCTTATTTATTTTGATTTATTTCAATCAATATTTATACAGGAAACACAAGTTATAATTAGTGAGCTAGTTATGGGGTCCTGTTATAACATCAATATAAACAGATATAAATCAATATAAATAGATCTAGAGTACAAACAATAAAAGTGTGCAACACTTTGCACTATTTAGTAGTAAATAGTGCTAATTAAACAATAGAAAACAATAGGATTAAACAATAATTTCATGTCAAGGTTGGAGTTTCTGTGCATAGCAAAACTACAGTTTATCATGTGCAGCAACTCCAGCCATAGTCTGCCGAGCAGACATTTTTAGTGTCGGCTTGTTCTGAGGGGAAGGAACAAGCTGACACTAAAAACGTCTGCAGGGCAAGCTACTCCAGCCTGGGCTTGGAACTATTATTTGGGGTCACTGAGCGGAACTGTAAAATAGAGTATTGCTGCAAAGAGCTATGTTATATAATTATTAGGCACATATACTGTAGGTTATTTACTGTATAGTTGAAAAGTGATATTAAAGTCCCTGTGTATATTATTTCCAGGTCACTGTAATCGTCTTCAGTCATCAAATGCAGAGAAACATGTTGAGCCAGAGTACGCTTTTGAGGTACGCCAGCATATTCACTGGTTTCTATTATTTGATTGAATGATTTACATATTCAGAGCTAAAAGGACTGGCAGGTCAGTTGCTGGTCATGATGTGGCCTGGGGGGGGGAAGGGGGGTACTCCCCTATATTTGCTATACAGGTATGTGCCGCCCTATAGGGTATGGTTTTTCGGCTTTTGGGTCTGGGGTAGGGTATCATTTGTGTCTCGGATAGTGTTAAGGATTTGGTCGTTTTTGTCTGGCGAATAGGCTACTCTTTCTGCCGGCACAAAAACAATAAAAGCGTTAGTAAATATTGATTGCAATCTACTGATTAACCGTCTTTTAGTCTGGGATAGGGTGTAGAATTCTTAGTTTTAGTCTGGGGTAGGGTAATAATGTAAACTCAAAATTTTAGGTCTGGGATAGGGTCAGGGTTTTGAGGTCCTGGCAGCACACCTCTACCCAAGTCGGGGTGGTAGTACCCCCCCCCCCTCCCCGGGTGATGTGACAGGCCAAATTAGTTTTAGCCCAGTCATACCTCAATTCTGACTCAACGTTACTGCTCAAAATGGTCTTGGAATGCACTGTTCAGTATGCAGTATTCAGTATTCAACCTTTCTTGATATAGCTGTATACTTTAAAATGAAAGATGGATGTTCTGTTGATTTTTACAGATGGCTAGCTCTAGTATCAGATATGGACATGGAGTAACTAGAGAAGTTGGCATGGTAAGTTGGGTGCAGGATGATCAATAAAATGTTATTTTAGGCCAAAAACAAAAAAAAAGTGTTTCCTGTTGCACGACCAACCCTAATTTTCTTGCCGATTTTTGCTGACCCTAAAAATCTTTTCATTCTCAAATGAACCACAAGGTTCCCACTTAGCTCATTTCCACTATTGTATCAGTAAAAATAATCCGACCTATCAACCCCAATTATTTTTCTCATTCAAYGGGAAATACACTTATTTTATTGTTTGGCCTTATAGAATTAGATATATCAGAATATAATATAATTTTGTTATAATCATGTATYAACCTAGCTTTAATCTTTTTTTCAATATTTATATCCCTTTTATAGATTTTATAGTTCTTTTTTTCAATATAGTAATTAACAATTATTCACCGAAGGTGAAATGAATATTGAGGAATATTTACCGAGCTGCAAGTCTTCAAGCCGGGAGCCTGAGGCCAATAATTTTAGTATTTTTAACACAAGTGGATTTTGTCTTTTCAAATTTTATTTATCTCTGCRAGGGAATAGGCAAACGAGCATGCACGTACGCTAGTTATATTCAACTGTAGGTGAATATAGCAGCATAAGGTTTAAATTGTGACCAATGAGTACGCCAGATTTATTTCACTTGCGTRAAAATACTAATTATTGTTATTCATTGTAATTTGCTTCTGAAAAGCCCTTTTGGGGATTAGCCTGCCATAGTAAAGGAGCATGGTAAAAGGAGGTCATTCCAGTAAATTTTGCATGTCATTTTATTATTCATTTKGCAGYRCATCRTTATTTTCACCTGCCAAACCTGAAATTTGTCCTGTTATTTGGCCATTGGCAGGCTGCTATTTCGAGCCCTGATATATGAAAAATAAACATTTATGAAAACAATGCCATAAAAGTGAGATAGCAGAGGCAGGCTCATGATCGGTGGTGAAAGGGAGGGCTGTAACAGGAATTTTTTTCTGAAAGCACACAACGCTTGAATATCAAAGTATAAAATAATGTTTTTATTCAATAATTTATTTCAGGATTTCAAGAACATGGGTTTAAACAATGTGTGTGTTGTGACTGATCAGAAGGTGAGAATGAATAATAAATTGATTATTGATTAAAATATGRCGTACAGCTAATTATTGCTGGTAATAAATTTGTAATTTTTAAAATATTTTTATTTTTTGTAAATAGAATTAAATTTGAAATGTATGTGTTGGGTAGGTTATATTAGTTAACTATTATTCGCTGAATTAAGGTGAAGTGATTATCGGTGGAATATTTACCGAGCCTCAAGTCTTCGAGCAGCTAGGTCATAATCACCATAATCATTTAGCCTGATGAGAATAATTTTTTTAGTATATTTTTAGACTCGAATATACCCAAATATCAGAGAAAAGTCAAAATTCAGTTTGCAACAATGAAGTACCCTTAACTTTAGGTCTTTTAGAATAATCCAACTTTGAGCTCCCCTAGTCATTTGGGCTCTTGAAGAATGACACCCAATGATTATTTGTATCATTTGTATATGTAATACGACTCCACTAAGAAATAATTGGATGAGGAAAATTCCGAGGACTTCCAAAATTGGATGAGGCCGTAGGCCGAGTCCAATTTGGCAGTCAGAGGAATTTTTTGAGTCTAATTATTTCTTGACTGGGGAGCATGAAATCCCATTACCTATTGATTATATAGCTGCCTAATTAATCCCATATCAACGAGAACCTGTCCTGTTCAATTAAGAAAATAATTGGACAGTTACCTACATGGGATTAATGAGAAGCTGTATAATTAGGTCAAATAATGACAGGTTGGAATTAAAAATTAGGGTTGCAATTGAGTAAAGAGTTGTTAGCTCGAGAAAATCTATATTATGTATTTATATTTACCAACAGCGCAGCAAGCAGATTCTAAAAAYGGCTTAGATGCAGACAAACATTGCATTCTGTTTAACCTTGTCAAGTATTATATGAACAGATTTTATAATTTTACTTAAAGTCATGATAATAACCTAATTAAACAAAGACCTACTGCGATAGACTATGAAAATTAATTGCTGAAAGTAAAGTATAAAGTTTGTTTGTCTGAGTTTTGTCTTTGTCTTCATTTTTATGACGTCATCTGCATGGTGCACTATTGTTATGATTAATGATAATATTATAATATTATATATTTACCAACAGCTTGCCAGTTTGCCACCAGTCCAACAGGCTGTAGAATCTTTAACTATGAATGGAATTAAACATGATGTCTTTGATAAAACAAGGATTGAACCTACTGATCGAAGGTAAATAATAGTATGCTCTAAGTGATTAATAGGCCAAACAAAAAAATAAGTGTTGCCTGTTGCATGAGAAAAATAACTGGGGTCAGTAGGTTGGATTTTTTCGAACTTACTGGGAACCCTGTGGTGCATTTGGGAATGAAAAAAAATATTAGGGTCGGCAAAAATCACAAGAAAGTTAGGGTTGGTTCCGCAACAGGAAACACACTTATTTTTTTATTTGGCCTTAGCATACAGATATTCTAGGAAACAATCATAATTTTGAGGTCAATAATACAGCTGTTAGAGCAGTTTTGACATGACTGTGAAAAGCTCAGTGCCTTAACGTGTCGTGCTGTGACTGTAATTTTTTCTACAGTAATGATAAAAAGGTAAATTATACACCGTGAAAAGATGAAAAAACTTACTGACGTTTCGGACGCTAGTCCTCCGACGAAGGACTAGCGTCCGAAACGTCAGTAAGTTTTTTCATCTTTTCACGGTGTATAATTTACCTTTTTATCATTACTGTTTCATTAGAAACACCGACGCAGCTCACACTAGTTTTTAGCTAGTTATATCTTGTAATTTTTTCTAGTATTTTAATTGGCTGACATTTTTATTACRCAATGTGATTGGTTTGACAGTGCCATAACCTTGGCGTGACCCTGTCCGTGCTGTGTTTTATGCCATGTTCCGGGTATTTGATTGGATGGAGAGTAAACTCTCGAGCAATATGATAGGTCGGGCGATTTCCTTGCCATGTCATGACCATATTCGTGTTGTGAGCTTTTCACAGTCATACAAAAACTGCTCTAATAATGCAGCACTACTTACTACAATACTGCAAAATCCCCCTTTGTTATAAGCATGCAAGTCTGCTAATGCAAATACTGGTACAGTAGATCTCTCCACCCTTCCCTCTACAAAGAAATGAATGTTCCATCTATCTTGACCCCAAACACTATAGCTATTCATTCTGGTTATAATTCTCCCTGAATATAAGCCACCTCAGGTTAGTTATTTGGCTTTCACTAGGGGTGGTTCTATCCCCCCCTGTCACTAGGGGTGGTCCTATTTTCCCCCACCCCCCCACTGTCACTAGGGGTGGTTTCCCCCCCCCCCCCCCCCCCCCCCCCCGGGGGGTTTTTCCCCCCCCCCCCCCCCCGTCACTAGGGGTGGTTCTATCCCCTTCCACATTTTTTAGGCGTACGAAATAATGTTTAGTGATATTTTATATTAGAAATGGTTTTCCTTCAAACTCAGTAAGGGCGAGTGCCAATCTCTGTGCGTGTCCACAGGAATCCCAAAACACTTGTTTTTACAGAACACTCGTTCTACACTCTAGAGGGAAAAGTGGGACCACTCGTAGTCTAATCTTGAAATGGCGTAACCACAAGATTGGTAGAAAAACGAACCTCCTGTTTCAAGGTCCTAGCGACGGGCCTGATTAGCAATGAGTATGAGCCAAGGGCTGATAACCATATAGGATTTGATAGTATTACCCATTCTGAGGTTGAGGGGAAAACTTGATCAAGTCAATCAAGTTGGTATTGTAGTTCATATTGGGGCTGTTCTAGGGGACTAACACTTAGACGCCATCTTAGAAATATGCAGTGCCAACTCAACCCAATTTTTTCCTCAATCCTGGAAAGACTTTTCTTTAAGAAACAGAATCATTTTTCAAACTAGGTAATTTGAATGCAAGTGTTGTCCCTTTGCAGTTTCAAGGAATGCATTGAATTTGCAAAGAAAGGCCAATATGATTCTTTCCTTGCCGTTGGTGGTGGTTCGGTCATGGATACAGCAAAAGCAGCAAACCTTTATTCCTGTTTCCCAGACAGTGATTTCCTAGATTTTGTGAATGCTCCCATTGGACATGGGAAGCCTGTGGATAAACGACTTAAACCACTCATTGCAGGTATGTCATATATTTAACGAATAAAACAGCTTTTTAGGGGCTCTGTTCAGTAATAAAACACGCAGGAAGTGACGTAAGCATGAAAGAAGTGTGAGGAGAAGCACGAGTATAGGCGAGTTCTTCTCACACTTGAGTGCTTACAGCGCTTCCTAGTGCTTTATTACTGAATGGAGCACGGAAAAAGCTGTTTTAATCGTTTCATTATATAGTCACTAATTTTATGGAATTTATTTGGGCAAAAAGAAAGACGGTTGCAGGATCTAGCAGCACTTCGCACCCGCAGATGGCGTCAGTACTGTGCTCCGTTCACTAATAAAGCACAGTTTTTGACCAATCAGCTGGCGCGTACTATCCCAACTATAAAATAAACAGGCAATAGGAAAAGCAACCAAGATGTATCTGCCATTTGACAGTAGTTTCTGGCCATTTGTCAACTGTTTGTCAGACGTTTGATGGTAGTTTGTCAGTTATTTGATGGTTATTTTTTACCATTAATTGGCCTGGATTTGGCGATATATGTATGCCAACAGTCGGCCATTTGTCAATCACACAATCAGGGGGATGTCAAGATTATGGAGTAACAATGGGATGTTGACCAGCTTTGTGGGATGTGTGAGATGGTGTGATGTCGACTGATCATAACATCACGACTGACAGGGGGATGTCAAGATTATGGAGTAACAATGGGATGTTGACCAGCTTTGTGGGATGTGTGTGTGATGGTGTGATGTCGACTGATCATAACATTGACTGACTACGGTCAACATTCATTCAATGGAACATCTTGGTGTTGTTCTTTAGACTGTGAACAGCCTCACTCTTCCCTCAAGACTCAGTACAAAGGAGTGTTTGTAGCATGGCTGAATGGTCCTCCGTTGCAGAATGGTCTTCTGACGTTTCCGCCAATAGGAAATACGCTTTTATCTACCAATGATGCTCTGTGGTGAAAGTGTCCTATGCAAAATGTTCCCTTGGGGGAGATACAAGTTTACTTAGTTTGAAGGGAAGCGTGGGACCGCTCTCAGTCTAGTTGTTCTTTGGTATTACCGTATTCACATGTGCTATCCAAGGGCGGATCCAGAATTTTTTGAAGGGGGGGTCTCAGGGGTAAATTTTGTTGGCAAAGGAATCCCAGTCGCATTTTTACCACAGGAAGCCCATTTGACCTCAGGAATGACAGGGGGGTCGCGACCCCCCCGACCCTCCCCCTGGATCCGCCCTTGCTATCTATCAATTTCTTTACTGCTCTCAGTGTTCATATTCTCCATATTTTGATTAATATTTCAAAGTGGCTAATAGTATGCATGCACTTTCTATTGAATAGTTCCAACCACAGCAGGGACAGGCAGTGAGACAACTGGGGTAGCAATATTTGACTATGAGCCTTTGAATGCCAAAACAGGTTGGTACATTTATATCATTCCGTTAATAATATAATCATTAACATAAGCAATTTGTAATACGATTTTTCTGATGTCTTTCTGGTTTAGTTTGTGCATCTCTCTCCAATCCA